ACGGAATACTTCCGACACATGAGAAAGGGATGCAACATGCACCCTCGCATGAATCGTCCTTTTGGGGACCCGATTCCAATCACGCAGACGCGGCCGGTAATATATTACCGCGCCGTCACCTTTCATTCTAAACTCGCGGCCTTACACTTTGCCGCGAATGCGCCGCTGGCGCACTCAAGCTACAAACACAACTGTACATACATACTTCTCTCTGACAAAGAAATAAACACATTTCTACACAAGTGACTCTATCTCACTTCTCACCAGTTCGAACACATCCTTTGGGCTATACATCCATAGGTACTAATAAAATTACACACTCTATAAATACGACAGATAACATCCCTATAAACGTAAAACAATATAGATATCCACCGATCCATAAAAACGAAATTAAAAATCAGGTAAATAAATTATTAGATCAGGATATTATTCAACCGTCTGTTTCACCGTATAACTCACCGTTATGGGTAGTGCCAAAAAAACCCGATGCTGATGGCAACAAACGATGGCGGTTAGTAATAGACTTCCGTAAACTAAATGAAAAAACAATCGGAGATGCATACCCTTTACCTAACATATCAGATATCTTAGATCAATTAAGCAAAGCCAGGTATTTTTCGTGTTTCGATTTAGCCTCAGGCTTTCATCAAATTCCCATAGAACCGCAAGACACCGTAAAAACAGCCTTTAACACGCCTAACGGTCATTTCGAGTATAAAAAAATGCCATTCGGTTTAAAGAACGCCCCCGCGACGTTTCAACGCCTGATGGATAACGTTTTAACTGGACTACAAGGAAATGTTTGCTTTGTTTATTTAGACGATATCGTTATATACGCACAAACTTTAGAAGAACATAAACAAAAATTACACCAAATTTTCGAACGAATCAAAAAAGCTGGTCTTAGCTTACAGCCAGACAAGTGTGAATTTTTTAAGCGCGAATTAACATATTTAGGCCATATCATATCAGATAAGGGAGTTAAACCTAACCCAGAAAAGATAAAAGCAATCGAGCAATATTTCGTTCCTAAAAATCATAAACAAATAAAACAATTTTTAGGACTTGTAGGGTACTATCGTAGGTTTATTAAAAATTTCAGCGAAATTACAGAATCATTTACTTCGCTCCTCAAAAAAAATGTACCATTTAAATAGGAAATAAGGCAACAAATTAATTACGAAAAACTAAAACAGTTACTATCGAGAGAACCTATTTTACAATATCCAGATTTTGATAAAGAATTTTTATTAACTACTGATGCAAGCGATGAAGGAATCGGTGCAATCTTATCACAAGGTGAAATAGGCAGCGATCTTCCCATTGGTTACGCTTCACGAACATTAAATAAAACAGAAAGAAATTACGACACAACGGAAAAAGAACTTTTAGCTATTGTCTGGGCAGTGAAACATTTTCGACCTTATTTGTACGGTAAACCATTCAAAATTATCACAAGCCGTTAACTTGGCTCTTTAATGTTAAAGATCCATCATCCCGACTAATGCGCTGGCGATTGAAATTAGAAGAATATAATTATAAAGTCGTATACAAAGAAGGAAAACTAAATACAAACGCAGATGCACTCTCTAGAAATCCGCAAATAATGACCTTTCAGATACAAGCTTCAGGTAGTAGCGATGCGAATTTGAGCTATAGCTTATTTTTACAACACGCACTAAATGATTCATTGTGGGAAACAGATAATATAATCCCTCAAACTTCAGGTAAAATAAAAGGTCTTTTAGTGAAAGAAATAAACTCTTCTCCTAAAATTAAAATTTCTCTTTCTAAAAACGGTAATAAAGCAGAAGACATAACGCTCACACCGGGAAATATT